CCGTGAGCCATTGTCCATTGTGGGTGTGGGACTGCCCTGGGTGGGGGACCTGCAATGAACAGAACTGCTTTTGATCCCCTGAATTCTGTCCAATCTCCGTTTTAGGCAAACCAGATTCAGCCATCATCCCAAACCAATTCCCCACTCTTTTTTTCCCCCCCAGACCTGTTGATCACCACACTCTTCCTCCCTCCCAGCCCTCACCAGTTGCTCTTCCAGGTGTGCCTGACGTCGGTGTCGTGGATGCCGTGCTTGTCCGCCTGCTCGTCCAGGAAATCAAACATGTATTTGATGGCGAGGGGCAGGGCGCTGCCGCGGTGCACCGTGCTGAACAGMGTCTCAAACAGATCATCCACGAACTTCTGCAGCGTTCCCTGGGGGCAGGGGTGCAAAATCAGACAGCTTTGAACGTGATTTTTAATGGAAATTATTCAGGGGGTTGTTTGCCTCTGAGAGAGGGATTGAATTTTCTTTTTAAAATGGTCCGGTGCTAATTTTTTTTTTGTAATTTAACTTTATTCAGGGGTTTGTTCGCCTCTGAACAATTGAAGAATTGGGGAAATTGAAGTTTTCTCTTGAAAAGGGTCCAGTGCTAATTTTTTTTTTGTAATTTAACTTTATTCAGGGGTTTGTGCGCCTCTGAACAATTGAAGAATTGGGGAAATTGAAGTTTTCTCTTCAAAAGGCTCTGCTTCACTGAAAGTTTGGGAATGGCTCTGTGAGGCCTGAACACTTCCAGCAATAATTCCAGAGCCAGGAGATACAGAGGGGATAAATGGACATTTACAAATGTGTGGTCAGAGACACCCAGTCTGGGAAATGATTGCTAAGAGAAACAAAAAATGAGGATAAATTCCCATCAATAACCAATAGCAGATCGAACACTAAGAATTGTGCAATTTAGAAGCAATGAACATGAATTTATTCGGGGTTTTTATGYATAAATATGTGAAAAATCGGGTAAAACCCCACGTGTGATGGCATGATTTTCACTGCACAACTCCAGCCTGCAGCTACTCACTCATTTCCTCCTCATTTCTAACCTGAAACAAATTTTTTCTGCTTCTCAAAGCACAGCTGTGTTATCCACACTGATGATCACGTGGGGAAAGRCAGAAAAACTCTGCCTGGTGAAAGAAATGGGTAAATATTTACAGGCACTGCTGCATTCACCAGCTCTATGTTGGTGCAGAAATAGGGAGAATCGCAGCAATCATCATGACTGTGAAGAAATCTGGACTGCAGGACTCCCC